CCCCCCCCCCCCTTAATCACCAATCACCATGATTAAAACAGCTCAATCACCAATCACCAAGATATGTTCAGGCCAATCACCAGTCACCAAGAATTCCTGAATAGCGTTCCATGCAGAATATTGGGCTCAAATAATGCATCACGCTCGAAAAATAAGGCCAGTCACACAGAACACAAAAGGTATTCCCTACCCTCATATGTGCCTTTTCTTTCCTTGTCATCTTACTGTTGCATGTTTAGGTAGATGAGAGTGCCTGACAATGCAAAGTCTCATAAGTCTGAAAGTTCATTGGTTTAAAGAATGAAAAAGTTTTAATTGTTTGGAATAAATTACATCTACTTCAAAAGATTTTTTTTTGACAACATCACTGATGGGATTTGCTTTTTTTTTTTTTTTTTTTTTTTTTTTAGTAATGACTGCCATTTGAGATCAAACCAATATACCTGTGGACAATTTCAAAAGGTTTGGGATCAGAGAATGTTTAGACCTTTGATCCTTTGGGCCTATATAAAGGCCCCATTCATAATGGATGATATGAGTACTTACTGATCTGCCGACTAAATATGGCTGATCACAGATCAAAAGTGAAGTCGCTGATTTCTGATGGTCTCCCTGCCTCCACACATGCTGTTACTGCAGGGGCCTAGCAATTAAACCTTGGAGCTGAGATATAATCCGTTGTAAGTTTAATTTGTTTTTTTTCAATCATGAATTTCTGTTTGACATCCCTCTTTGTTTATGACCAGGAGGGGTATGTAACATCCTTGGACATAGAACCAGGAAGATCATTGCAGTTGAAGACTCTTAGTATGAAGCCACTGGTATTTGGTAAAACGGAGTGCTTATTTCATATTTTATTTTATTTTTTAGAAGAATATTTATGGTAGTAATTTTTTAATTTGAATTGCATTTGAGACAATAAAAATAAATATGATATATTATGCAGAATTTTTGTAGCTTAAGTTTTCTCATTTGAATTTATAGATTATGCAAATATTGTGAACATTTGTATTTTAGAAATTGTGGACTTCCTGACAACAAGTGAAAGTGACCATTTCATAGCCCTTGCTAACAACATAGGTTTGCAAACCAGCAAAACTCACAGTGACCGAGCCAATAAAAACTCGTTCACTTTATTTGACCAGGATGGAAACAGGAGACTTAGCCTAGATGAGGTTTGTAACAAAGATATGAAACACCTTTCAGTTGGTGATGTGTATCTTGCATCATTATTTTTAACTAAAATTGGCTAACCTCCTTCATGAAAAAGTTTATCAACATACGTACACATCTTAGCTTGTGAATATTTTGTCACACTTGTAACAATTATAAATGAATTGATTCATATGCTCAACAAGTCTATAGTTCTTTTGATATTTTGCACTTTGCATTCCAGATGAAGCTAACCATAGAAAATAGTTTTGATGTTTATCTAGACCATGAAGATATAAGAAAAATGTAGGTCAGAATAGACAAAAAGCAAACAAGCTCATTTATGCTTTCTGTGATTTTTATTGTTTGTTTTTGCTATTCTGTTCCTAAATACATGTACCTCTTATCACTTTTTCCTAAAGTTTCAAACATCAGTTACAACTTCTGATTAAATGTTATTTTTACAAAATATACTATTATGTGATAAGCATGACTTTACAGTAAATGCATGTATAAAATGCTTCCCAGAGATTTATTGACATAATTTCTATAATAACTTAGTAAGTTTACTGTTATTTCTCATGCAGGTACATGGACTTAGGCATGGACCAAGATCATGACAGTTTGTATCTATTATTTTGGCAAGCATTTTATCTCCAATTAAAAATTAAAATTTTGTTCAAATGACACTAGAAAAATTTTAATTCAACTGTTTTTAAAAGTTTGTAAATGTGATAAAAATAAATATTTATATTATGATGTACTTCACACTTTAAAGATGAAATCACACCAGATGAGATCCAGAAAACAAGCCCAGCAGATATGGGGGAATATCTTCAGAAAAAAATGATACAGTACCCAGAGAAGAAGTCCCGCTTTAGTGAACAAGTGTGGTTAAGGCCGGATTTTTCAACAGATGAAGTTTTCCAGCGTGTGCAATTGAGGTATTACCTGTTTTACCATACACATAATTATATAAGAAATCCTAAAATAATATTTGAATCTGTCATTGACTTAAGCTGCGTTCACATGAAAAATCTATTTTCTAAAAATCTAAAAATCCATTTGCGGTATCTTGTGATCACAGTCTGTGCCCTGAATACCCCGCGGCATAATTACTGGCAGCGCCGAGAATTAATTACAGCTTTGGAAGTAACTGGCTCGCGCTGCCCGTAATTACGCCATGGGGTATTCAGGGCATAGACTGTGATCACAAGATACCGCAAATAGATTTTTAGATTTTTAGAAAATAGATTTTTCATGTGAACGCAGCCTTAAAGGTCCAATGCCCATAGCTGTGTGACTAGACCACAGATTTTATTGTGAGATGCAGTTATACATAGAACCTCAAAAAAGTCAAAGAATGAATATGATTCCCTTTTTTTCAACATTGTTCATTGCTTTGGCATCTTATTAGAATTTTTGTGGCAAACCAGACTTGATTTAGATAATTATTTCTAGGAGCATTGTTATATGTCAGGTCAAGTGGGCATTGTTGTTTGTCAAAACATACACTAAATAGGTGTACTGTACTTTTTTATTTTTTAGAGTTCAAAAGTTAACAAAGCTTCCTGAAACCTTGATAAAGAGGAGTCATGTACAGGTAAAAAACATGCTTAAATGAATTTGATTTAAGGTATTATTTGTTAAAATGCTGTGTTCAAGTTTTATGAGGTAATTCCAGAATGGCAGCAACTCTTATCTTACTTTATTTCTGTAGGTTGTCAAGTATGGTTTGAAGGGACACTATAATGCCCACTTAGACTCCACTCCATTGAATACCAAGGTTCCTTGCTGTACAGAAACCACTAGGTGGAAGGGGAATTGCAGAATATGCAGGTATTCCTAATCCACTACAAAAATTAAACTATGGGTTGTTGGTCAGATAATTATAATAAAAAAATNGATATAAGAAAAATGTAGGTCAGAATAGACAAAAAGCAAACAAGCTCATTTATGCTTTCTGTGATTTTTATTGTTTGTTTTTGCTATTCTGTTCCTAAATACATGTACCTCTTATCACTTTTTTCCTAAAGTTTCAAACATCAGTTACAACTTCTGATTAAATGTTATTTTTACAAAATATACTATTATGTGATAAGCATGACTTTACAGTAAATGCATGTATAAAATGCTTCTCAGAGATTTATTGACATAATTTCTATAATAACTTAGTAAGTTTACTGTTATTTCTCTTGCAGGTACACGGACTTAGACATGGACCAAGATCATGACAGTTTGTATCCATTATTTTGGCAAGCATTTTATCTCCAATTAAGAATTAAAATTTTGTTCAAATGACACTAGAAAAATTTTAATTCAACTGTTTTTAAAAGTTTGTAAATGTGATAAAAATAAATATTTATATTATGATGTACTTCACACTTTAAAGATGAAATCACACCAGATGAGATCCAGAAAACAAGCCCAGCAGATATGGGGGAATATCTTCAGAAAAAAATGATACAGTACCCAGAGAAGAAGTCCCGCTTTAGTGAACAAGTGTGGTTAAGGCCGGATTTTTCAACAGATGAAGTTTTCCAGCATGTGCAATTGAGGTATTACCTGTTTTACCATACACATAATTATATAAGAAATTCTAAAATAATATTTGAATCTGTCATTGACTTAAGCTGCGTTCACATGAAAAATCTATTTTCTAAAAATCTAAAAATCTATTTGCGGTATCTTGTGATCACAGTCTGTGCCCTGAATACCCCGCGGCATAATTACTGGCAGCGCCGAGAATTAATTACAGCTTTGGAAGCAACTGGCTCGCGCTGCCCGTAATTACGCCATGGGGTATTCAGGGCATAGACCGTGATCACAAGATACCGCAAATAGATTTTTAGAAAATAGATTTTTCATGTGAACGCAGCCTTAAAGGTCCAATGCCCATAGCTGTGTGACTAGACCACAGATTTTATTGTGAGATGCAGTTATACATAGAACCTCAAAAAAGTCAAAGAATGAATATGATTCCCTTTTTTTCAACATTGTTCATTGCTTTGGCATCTTATTAGAATTTTTGTGGCAAACCAGACTTGATTTAGATAATTATTTCTAGGAGCATTGTTATATGTCAGGTCAAGTGGGCATTGTTGTTTGTCAAAACATACACTAAATAGGTGTACTGTACTTTTTTATTTTTTAGAGTTCAAAAGTTAACAAAGCTTCCTGAAACCTTGATAAAGAGGAGTCATGTACAGGTAAAAAACATGCTTAAATGAATTTGATTTAAGGTATTATTTGTTAAAATGCTGTGTTCAAGTTTTATGAGGTAATTCCAGAATGGCAGCAACTCTTATCTTACTTTATTTCTGTAGGTTGTCAAGTATGGTTTGAAGGGACACTATAATGCCCACTTAGACTCCACTCCATTGAATACCAAGGTTCCTTGCTGTACAGAAACCACTAGGTGGAAGGGGAATTGCAGAATATGCAGGTATTCCTAATCCACTACAAAAATTAAACTATGGGTTGTTGGTCAGATAATTATAATAAAAAAATTGTCATATATTTGGGCAATTTCTGTTTGACCAAAGACTGAAAAAGAGAGAGGAATGCCATGAATCTAAAATGAAAAAAAAATATTGCAGAAGTGTAGCCAACATAATATAAAAAACAATATGGGATTGTGTAACTGGATATTTTTGGATATTTTTTGTACGTCTTTTTTTTCGTATTTCTAGGTATATGACAATCTTATTTTATCTCAGTGATGTTGAAGAAGGAGGAGAAACCGCATTTCCAGTGGCAGGAAATATAACATTAGATGAAGAGGTAAACTTTGTGTATTTTTAAGATGAAAATTTTGGTTAAAAGATTTGAATTAGCATCTGCTTTTATGTGCAATGTCCCATCCTAAAACAAAACTGTAGACACTGTATGATGGCATACAAGACTAGAAAACAAGCCGTGCAAGGTTTTAGGCTACCTTTTATCTCTGAAAGTCAAAATCTGTGAGCTTGAAATGTATTTTCACAAAGCAATCTAAAAGTAGCATGCTAAACATGGTGAATACTCACTGTTGTGCCAAAGGCTGTAATTTTTCTGGACTTTAAAGAGAACTACCAGAAAAAAAACTGTGGATAAAGTTTGTTTTATTTATTGTTTCACTGCAGTTGCTATAGTGTGCCATATAGTTCTGACCCTACTCTCCTCTAAATCATTCAAAATCTCACAACTTGCTTGATTATCAGCTATGTCACAAGACTGTACTATCACTGAATGATTACTCCCATTGTGTCTGGTGTGTGTTCTTACCATTAATTGTTACATTGCATATTGTTGTAGTTCACATCAGTAGCACCCTGCATACAATAAAATTTATATACCATTTATATTGATATTCTTCTTCCTGTTTTAAGCCTTCTGGTGTCCCTTTTATTTTTTAAGGTATTAAGATCATCAGGAAACATCAATCTATTTAGATCTTGCCACAAAGCAAATTTCAAAGTTCCTCCCAAGAAGGGCAAAGCTGTTATCTGGTATAATCATTTCATAAATCCTAAGACTGACTGGTTGGGTGAGGTGGACAGATTTACATGGCATGGTGGATGCCCTGTGGTGAAAGGTGAAAAGTGGATTGCAAACTTCTGGATCAGAGTGATGGACACGAAAGAGGAAACTGAGAAAGGGTTCTGACTGGAAGATAGAAAAACTTGACACTTTTCACTTGTCTGAGAATCTGAAAGCTTGTGGGTTGGTCACATTATTTATCTATGCAACATTATTTTGTATGCAAGTAGACAATGTGATGAATACATTAATTTTTATAAATGGTATGAATACCCATGTTTGTCCATGGTATCCCACTACCATTGCTCTTGCCACATTTGTTTTCAAATTTAGGGGGAGCTTTTGTTTGTTAAAAAATCAGGTCAAATTAAAAAAGCAACCTAAATGAAAAATTATACATTGTAGTTTTTGGTCAGTTTTTCATATTTTTGCATCCTTTGCCCAATAATTACCAAAATGTATTTATTCTGAATAAATATGTACTAAATTTTAATAATGTTTTAAAAGAATGTTTTCCTTTAAAGTTCCAACATACAACTGCATTGATTTTCATTTAATAAAGATTTTAATAATGCTTATTCTTATGAAAAATATTTTACAGCTATGAATCTGATCTTTTAAGATATCTGAGTATTACAGGTTGAACTATGATTACTAGGTAATAATGTTTTCCGATCAATAACAAAAATCATTGAAGTATCATTTTTTATTTTGTTTCTTCACTGTTTTTTCTCTACAGAGGTATCTGTAGTATTTATCATGCGGTTGTGTTACAGATGAAGTTGATCAAATAAATCACTTTAGGCAAAATCTCAGTTGGTCTTTTTTGAGCAACACCAAAACTAGTTCATATGGAACTGCTTGTGAAAAATAAAATTAATTTTCTCTTAAAGAAATCAGCTCTTCAACATAATCATTCAATATCCCCAACATTCATCACTTTTGAAGTTTTCTGTTGAGGCAATATTGAAAATACAACAAAGCCTAAACAGATACATTTTGTAACATTTGTTAGTGTCTGTCATATTGAAGCCATAGCTGTGGCACTTTACTCGCCAGTTTTTCTATCACACTTGAGATGGAATCTATTTACAAGCTATATACAAAAAAATACAAAAATAAATTTCATTCACTTCTAGCAGCTATAAATAGAACCCCTGAGACAAATGAGTGGCTGTTCCCCATGCCCTCTCCTTGCACTCAAATAATTAAAAACTATATGTACATATATATATATATAATTATGTTTTTCTATATACAGATTAGCAATAATTGGTAAATATATAAACAGTCACATTTACAGCTTTGATTTCTTCATAATACTTTTGCATGCTTAAAGTAATCCATTTGCAAATAATGAAGAGCAGTGAACATCTCCCCCCACTTGAGTTTGTCAATAAAACAAGTATGTGTTTAAGGCATAAATGCTTAGGAAAATGCTCAGTATTCCAGATATGATTCTGTCTAAAGAATCCATCTTAAGTTATATTGTACATCATACCACCATTAATATATGTAGCTTACAAACTTATTAAAAGTACTTGTGTAAAAATTGAAAAATGTGTAATGCATAATTGACAGTATTTTTAGCATAAACATAATTTAGGCAGTCCCTATCGTAATTTTATTTTCACTAATTCTAAAATAATTTGAGGTAAATTGTCTTTCCTCAAACCACCATACTAATATGAGACTTAATGAACATGTCTGCGTTTATCTAAAGAGTAAAAATATCAAGACATAACACAAGGTTTATTGTTCTAATTGTCATCTCAAAGTTCTTATTAAAAAGAGGTGGAGTAAAGTGGCAGCAAAAAGATTCAATGGATTGCTTTGAATGGCTGTTGCAGCAGATATACTGTTGTACCATGAATCTAAGGACAAAGGGGTGGTTTGGGGAGGGACTGGCTTAGCATCATAAGTAGTTGCCTCTGTGGTGGAACTGAAAGAGAAAAAATTTAGTATGATTTTCTTTTATATTCATTTCCCTTTCCTTTTAGTTAAACAAGAACTCTTTTTCAGAATAATATTTTACCATTAAAGTTCTTCTGTTTCTATATTAAATTTAAAACTGGTATTTACACTCTCATTTTTTTGTTTTATAATGAAACTTATATCAAAATGTTTAAAAATGAAAGGAAAACAAAAAAATCTGTCCTTCATAGCAATGTAAAGATAAGCAACTTACCTTTCTGTTGTTGAAATTCTGACCCACAGTTCATTAAAGCTGGCCTTTTTCTTTTTATTCTTTCTCCTTTTCTTCTTTTTTCTATGTCTATTTTTTCTTTTGCGAGACCTGAAATGACAAATTGCAGTTGTTGAAACATAATTTGTGACCTTCCTAAACCAATCTGTAAGCAATTTCAAAGATCAATGTCAGTATATTTGGTGAGGAAATGAAGTTTTGTCAAACTGCTTTTAAATCTTCATCTTGTTCAAGGATGTTTTGCAATCTATAAAGCTGTTTGCAATGTATTTTTCATCCTAGAACTAATTTGTCAATAAAACAGTGCAAATAATGTCTATTGATTAGCTTGTTTTATATAAAGATACTGGATGACAACTGAAAAGGGTGGGAATCAATAGCAAAAAAAGTGTAAATGTAAAGAATGGGCAATCCTGCAACAAACTGTCAATTTTATTGTGCAAATGGAATCTAATCAACTGTTGCAAATAAGAATGTTGGAATTTGTAAATAACACAGGAATTCTTCATGTAAAAAACAGGTCAGGGAATGGACAAAAATATATCAAACTGGGTTGCTACCCTAATTTGTGGCATGTTTTGTAGATAGCTGATATCCAAATACTTTCAAATTAACCTATGACCAGTTAGCAGTGCCTTATTTGTGAATAGTTCAAATATTTTAGAGTCACCTTCTATTGTGTCTCCCAAATGGGTCTACATTAGGATCCACCAGGAGTGGGTAGTCTGCAGGCATGTCTGGCACTGCCACAGGTAGGAGGTTAGGTCTGGATCTTCCTCTTTTTGAAGATCTGAAATATAGCAATTATATTAGTTTATATCAAAGAACTAAATACATGAATTGTAACTAAAAAGGGATGGAAGAGACAGTGTGTAGGAGATGGGGGTCACACTCTAAACAGTCCACTGAATTAGTGACAAAATATGTAATTATATTTTGGATAAACACCAATTGTACAGGATACAGTTACTCGCACTGTGAAATATGACAGTTCACAGTCTACGGACTCCATTGTTCTTTCTTACATTGGCCCCTATGTGTACCTAAGCTAAGGTTGTATTATGGGGCAAGACTGAGTGATGAGTTACCAGTCTGGTAGAGATATCTCAAGAGAACATATTCTTGCAATTAATATCCCTTGTGTGATCTAAAAGATTGATAATATGATGTCCTTGTAGTATTAATATCCCCACATGTGATGTTAAAGATGGATAATGAGGCCCTCTTCACCCGACCTATGCTGGGAAAAACTGCACCAGAAAATTACTCTCAGGAAACAAAAAATATACACCCTGGGATTCAGAACCTTGAAAATTACCATATTTGTGTGTGTGTGTGTGTGTGTGTGTGTTAAGTATTCCAGTAGAAGGTGAATCTAGTTTCTTTGTCATCATTTACAATACATATTGTCAAACAGCCCATTATTCTACTTCCAAATATTCCCTCAAATTTCATTAAAAAAATTTAACAATTATAAATGTAATTTAGCCAACTTAAAGAATGCTTCTAAGAGAAATGCAGACAAGTATGCTTTTGCCTATTTGGACCTCAGGGTGAAAAATTCTCTTGATGATGACAGTCATCATCATCACTTAACCAGGCACCTAACAGACCAGCTGTCTTATCTGACAGCATTGGTGAGCAACAGCAAGCTAGCTCACAAACGGACATCAAAAACAGTAAAGTCATTTTTAATGTGTAAGCTGACCTGCAACAGTGAGAATATGTCACCAAGCAGGCCAGCAATGACACTTGACCTGTGATCAAAGAGACAGTGAAATAAGAAAAAAACTAAGTTGCATTCCTCACTGATATGGTATGCATAAGTAGATCTTTAGCTCTGCCAAAGGTGTGCTCTTGATGGTAAAGTAGCAAATGAGAAGTTTAATTACCATTGAGGAATGTAGAAGGGCATCTAGTTTGTCTGAGATTAAACTTTTTAAGGTGAAGCTTAACTATGCTATTTGACTTCATGTAAATCAATCTAATACTTGCAAAAGTCACAAAAAATATTAATGCAAAGTTGATTAATGTACAAAATGATTTCTAGAGTTTTTTATGTTTGAATCAATAAAGCATGCCTACAGAATTGTTCTTCCCTTTTCATATATGATAGTAATAAAGTAAATGGTAACCATGATGCAGTGCTCAGAGTGAAAATACAAAATTTTGAAACCTCTATAATAAGCAGAACTTGAAAAATTGTATCAATAAAAAAATCCAAGATATATTCTCTCAGACTCTTCAAACACTAAAACTGCATTAAATCAGCCCTGTTTTTCATCACCACACCCATCTGAAAACTTGAATTGAACCAGGAAAATTGTAGAGACTTTTTTGCTTTGACCCTACAGCCAAACCACTGGTCTTTTTTAAGTTGAAGTGAGTCAAGGTGAAAAGGTGATCATCAACAGACCAAGGCCTTTGATCTCAGTGTTGAACTCTGATACCTAACTTCTTGTTGACACACCAGTTAAAATACACCTCAGACAATGATGTTTTTTCAGGCCTGGCCCTGGGTTTCTCCACAATTTCACACCTTTTCAGGGAGGTTTGTGTCCATTGTTTGGCTCCTTTAAATACATGACAAAATGTCTCTTTATGTGCTCCAGTAGAGTCTGAGTTTCAGAGACTTTACTTTAGTCCATATAAGTACATCAAAGGTGGACAATGCTATATTTTCCTATCATCTTTCAATACTATTTATCTTCTTTGATTTTATACTTGCCTTCATGTAGTATTTATTAATGAAAACCTCTATGCATACAAAAGCCATTTTAACACCTAAAGCCATTATTAATTCATAGTATATCTCAGAATGATTTTATTTTCATCTAAAAATTTCAATTTCCTTTAATATATTAAGCAAAGTCTACTTCATGCACCTTTATCCTTCTTTAAATATTTTTCCATAAAATTTCTCAAAATCAACTTTAAAATAGATGGTGAGTGCACTAAATTGGCCCTCTGTAGGGTGAAGAGGGTAAATATTATTTCATTCAATATTGACCCTCTTTTATTTTGTGTCTTCAGATATACTTCACCTTTTGAAACAACTCAGACGTAGTTTAGGAGGGTTTTTTCCCAAAACAAGTATTGGTTGAAACATTAGGAAAACAGTCTTTACTGTATTACATACAGTGAAAAGAAGTCAAACTAGGAAGGTGTTGAAACTTGATATCAGATTTGTCTTTTGTAAGGGGTAATTTCTCACTCAAAAATGTTGAGGTGTAGAGGTACCCACATCTCTGCACCTAATAAGCTTTATCAGGAGTCAATATTATTTTTAGTTTTTGTTTCTGTCGCATGCTGAGAGAGACGGGACATGCGTTAATGCAACACTACTTATTTTTGCAGCGCGACCACGAGTGAAACAACATCCTTGGGTGTGAATGTGTGAAGTCAAATATTTTAATGCATACTTTCATTGAAAAAGCAGGCCATAAAAATATAATGGCGAGCAACTGGCCACCCTGTACCCTACACCTGAAAAAATAACCAGGGGGGACAGGAAATGATCTGATAATGCATCTTTTAAATTGCAAAACACCACTTGTGCCACTTTTCAGATGTTTTTCTCCAGAAAAGGTTGCATAATATTCAGTGGCCACTTGCCCCTGGATACAGACAATACTGAGCATTAACAAGAAAGCAACACATTAAAAATGTCTTTGGTTTCTTAATATGCAGGTATTTTACACCAATGACCCCTCCCAACAGGCATATAAGGTCAGTCTGATGACCACCAAGTATTAACATGGAAATGACAATGTCTGCTGGGTAACTAATATATGCAAATTTATACCTTCTATTTGGATATTTTATGTCAGTTTAATTTTTCTGTCACCAAAACAATATGATTTGATTATGATTCTAAATACAAATGAATGTAAAATACAATTTATAATCTGTATTCAATTTAAAACAATGCACAGGTATTAGCAAAAGCTCAGAACTTTTGATTCACCTGTTATTTCAAGATTTTTACATACCTTTGCACTGTCTCATGTGATTGCGTATGCTCAACATCAAAGTTAAGCTTTCTTAAGTGGTCTATTATTGTATCATTGCCTAAAAAGTGACCTAGAAAAAAAAGAAAGAAAATATTAAATAATTCACAAATGAGGCAATTAATATAAATTTATTTCAATTATCCAGTAAAACCATTTTTCTTGCATTTCTTTACAGTAATTTGGATGATAATGTCAAATTATAACTGACATAACCAAACGCAGTACCTTGCAATTTCTAATTATTTTTTATTACTGAAAAAAAAACTAGTTAACTGTTATTTTACTTTCACCCATTAGGTCAGTATACTCTTCTCCTGACTTCACTTGCACAATGTCTCACGTCAGAAACCTACCATTTCATGAATATCTAGCACATCATTTTAAAGCACAAGCACAGCAAGAGCTCATTTCCCATGCACTCTTGCTCCTATTACCAAATACCATGTTTACTTTGAATTCAACATTCTTTTCAGCTGTATCTCAGCTTGTCACTGTCCCCACCATGTTGTCCCCACTTGGTGAACAAGAGGGTCAGCCTCCCCATTGCTAAATGACTAATTTTTGTCCTGCAAAACTATTTCAACTGACAACTATGTTGTTTTGAAAGGATGACCAGTTTTTGTGAAAATACAAACTCCTCTTAGCATAATTATATCAGACCTCCCGCCCCTAAATTTCCCCTATTCCAAAGATTTTCTAGCAGCAGCTAGGCTTATATACATCTTTTAGTTAATCAGAGAACAAGGAAATAATTTTGGTTTATTGATAAATGTGTCACTTTTTGAATACCGCAGAAGTAAGATGCTTTTACTCTCACGAAAAGATAATTGTAGAACAGTGTCTTACATTACCAGTATCATGAATGTCAATGCCACTACTGCAAGATGCTCTCAACTTAGAGCATGCAGCCCTAAAAGGGGTACTTAAAAACAATTCTAATTATGTTGAATCTGGTGGTTCCTATTTGTCTTATATTTACTAAGAAAACAGAAGCTTGCTAATTTCGAAAGGGAAAATAAACAATTCATTTGGATTCCAGAACACACACACACACACTCCCAATCCCTGTGGTGACTGTGCACAGGTAAACACATACCTATCCTCACTTAGTACTATTCTGGAAGGAGGTATATTATGTAACATATTTTGTCTGACCAAAATTTACATTAAGCATACTACTGATTTTTTGTGTATATAAAATATTGGTCCTTTTTTTATCAGATTATTTATGGTTGACATCTATTTTGTTTTGATAACCTTCAACGCAATTACAAAGTCTAAATCCTTCCATTACAGAGGGAATCTACACCCCCCCCCAAAAAAAAAGGAAGAAAAAGTTATATTTTTTACAAAAACATGCTACTTCAATCTATCCCTTACAATTAATATCCTTGATACAATCTACTTTTCAGTCCTTCAGTTTGATTTTAAAAAATTCCCAGGATTTTTTGCCTAGGAGCACCTGGAGAGATATTCCATTAAATGTGGCCAGATTGGTCAGTCACTACTTAAGCAGATACACTTAATGTTACCTCCCCAAGAGTGGACTTGATGACTATCTGTTAAGGCTACACATAATCTGTCAGAACCAACTACTGATTCCCATCCTGGCAGGTTTCTGAACTGTAATGAACCTGTTGAAGAGCTGACCCCCGAAATCTTAATGTATTTTATTGGTTCACTTAGAAAATATATTTAGTTATTTTGAACCAGATAAGATTCTCTGTGGCGGTGATTATTACTTTATTAGAATGTTAGTGTCTGAAGGTATACCAAAATAGTGACAATTAATTTTCTAAATGTAGCAAATAGTGCACTGAACTATTTCTGTGTGCAGGTATGTGTACCTAACACAAACAAGCTGCTCATTTTCCATCTGAATTAAGTTGAGGCAAACCATATTTCACAAAAAAATGAATGTGGGTTCTTACAAAACATACAAATCATTCTATTACCACAGACCAACAACCGTTTATTGAAACATAAAGCAGAGCTGTGATAAAAGTTATCTTACCTGCACCAAAAGCAAAGAAAAAACTTCTGTCCGGGTACTGTTTTAAAAGCTGTCCTACTCTCCGTGCCATTCGGGCATTTCGTTTGTAGATAAGTTCTTGTCGGAAATAATTGTCAATATTTTTGGCAGTTGAAAGCTCCCTAGGTGGGAGCGAGGTATTGACGAGATTCGGCACTTGGGCTGAGTCTTGGTTAAAAATGACAGAGTTCAAGTCTCCACAGTTATAGTGTTTTATTAAGTCTTCTGTAGTGTACGGCATATTCCCCATGCCAATTCTGTAGTTTTCATGCTGCCACAGGGTCTGGTTTAAGGCAAATACTACCTAAAAAGATATATATAGATTAATGAATAAGTTTCAAAAGAAAAGGTACAATACATTTTTATATAATGACTTGATTGGGCTAGCTTTTAACCCCCTCAGCACATTTAAAGTAAAACAAAAATTTGGTTAGGCAGTTATTAGGTGAAGAATTATGTCTGCTGACAACAGGGAACAGAAAAAATATAAAGTTTACAATTTTGACAATTAAGAAGTATACGAAAATAAAAACACTAAAATCAATTTCTTTTTCAATTGCTGTAATATAAATTAATTTTCCACCTTCAAATCAACAGATCAACAAATTCAAAAATAAGTTTTCCCAATCTAGTTGACTAAAATTTATGGAAAATGTCATTTAGTTAGAGTGTCATAAAAAATATTAACTCTTTTTAAAGTGGAGTAATATCCACTTCTTGCATCTTGAAATCTTAGAATCTGGCTCTTTTTTAGAAGTATTTTATTGATAACTATAATGAGCAGAAAAATTCCTGCCAATAACTTCAACAGATTTTATAAAAATCAGTTTGGAGAATTTTTTTAATAGTAAAGGAATTCTGGACACTTAAATAGAAAAAAGAATTCAGAGAAAGCGTCTGACATACTTTTCTAATATTAAATTGGGCAGGTTACTTGTTAGACAAAGTCAAATCACACCCAAACTGACCAAAGACCTAGGGCATTACCTTAAAAATAATACAGACAAATGACCCCAACAGTGAAATGTTCTAGCTTTCTTAGTGGTCACTCCTGTGCAACAGCTTCTGCATCACTGTTTGCACAACTGTTGTTGTGTATTCTAGAAGCATGCAATCCTAGATTTTCAACATCATCCACAACTGTTGTAATGCTCGCATTGGCAATGTAATCAGAACACAACTGGGAGAAAATTACAAAAAGTAACATGGTGATTTGTTGAAAGTGAGCTATTTGTGAAAACCAAATAGTTGGGAGTTTGTTTGGGCTAATGTCATTTGAGGGAACAAATGTTAGCAATTGCAGTTTTTATGCCAGACAAAATGTTTATAAATTGGCTTGCCGCTGGTACATAATCTTGCATACTGTTTGACCCCTGAAGGCAGAATCCAAGTTTTGCTACCCTGTGGGAGCTACTTGGGAAAATACTAATATGACTTCAAGTAGTGAGAAAAGACAACTAATAACAGTGTTTTTGGCTGTTATTTTTTGTTAATATCATTTGTCAATTTACCAATTATCTGTAATTATTTTGGTCAATCAGTGATCTGAACCCAGTTTTTGCAGAAATCAAAATATCATTTAAGTATTTAAATATAGGAAAAAAACTACAGAAAAGGATCATAATACTGAAATGGTGTATCTAACCTGCTATGAAGAACAAAAAGTAGTCTGGATCCAGCTTAAAGTCTATTACAGGATGGCCATGTAACCAAAGCCATGTCATCACAATATCTACTGCACAGGTTTTGAGAGGGGTTTCCATAAAAACATTGGCATCTATCTTAGTTTGTTTGAAATGTTTGTAAAGAACCTGCCATCTGGGATTATGTTCACTGTTAAACTGATACACCCACATCAACCTGGCTTATGGCAGTAGGAAAGGAATGTGCACAGACTAGAAATCACTCCTCATTTTTCTTAAATGACAGATTTTGGATAATGTGTATTTTCATTACTTTTTTTAATCAAAAAGAAAAAGCAAAGCAGTAACTTCAATACTTCAATACTATCAGAAATATTAAATGTGCCAAGCAAGTTTATGCTATAGAAGAGATTATTGTATAATATTATAAGACTATTTGTTTGGCTCCTCACTGTATATTAATATATATTTTGAGAAAAATTTTGCTTGTTTTTTAAGCATTTTTCTTCTACAGGTAATATTTCAATAATCAGGAACACCATGATAGTGATTGAAATACTATAAAAACCATTTGTTCAACTCCCATGCATTTGTATAGAACTGATACTAATTCACAGCACCTGAAGTCATTCACATGGCCATTTAATATTTTTTTTAGATTTCAATTTATGACATTTCACATTAAATGCCTTTGAAGTGAATCTCCTACGACATCTGAAATTGGCACGAAATCCTAGATGCCTTCCAGCTATAAGGAGACAAAGCTCCCAGCTGCACAGTAGACACTTTGAACTTGAGTTAACATGCTTAATAAACATAAAAAAAAACATAGCAAAGCTGAATGTATTTACAGACTCCCATTAAAATTACTTTGATTAGTAGTATGAAATAATATTATAATTTTTTTAACAATTAAAGATACAAAATGCCTTTAGTTATAGTTCATGTATGCACCTCCTAGAAGCCTTTCAGAAAAGGGATAGTTGAAAAAAGGTTAACTAAAAAGGTTTCCATTTCATTTAAATCTAAATATGTCACCAACATATATTATTTGGGACATGCAACTTCTTTAAAAGAAAAAACGGGACCAGGAATGTAAAATACATAAATCAAATTCACAAGTGACTGCCTTGCACCTAATTTATCATCAATACAGTTCTTTCAAAGCACATCCTCACACTTTTCAAGCATGAAAGAGTAAGAACAGTAACATATCTGTGAAGGGGGCTTTAATGTCCCTAGCATGTCCAGTTTACAAGTTTAAACTGCCTGTCATTAAGGTTCACTCCTGCCTTTTACATGCTGGGGAGGCATGAGGAACAGCACTTAAGGTATAGCAGAAACATGTAGGCTGAAAGAAAAATGGGGGATATTCAGCTGAGTTTGTTTGAAATATCTGACACTGCTTGAAACACAACTCAGTTGGGAATTTTGTGATAGTTTACAAAACTGTTTATCTCTGAGAAGGAAGTGTCTTTCATGTATGCCCACAGTTTCTAGAATACCCAGCTGATTCTGATTCCATTAAGACAGCATTACATAGGGATTTCTCTAATTATAACTTCACAACCTCTGTGGTTATATCAGAAACATCTTGCTCTTTTGAAATGTTCATTGTGTACTGTCATCAGCCCTTTCTCTCCTCCTTCCAAAATTATATTTTCATACAATGGAAAATCCTTTGCTAAATTTGCATTTCACCCTCAGTTTTGAATAGGTTTTTTTATTTTTAATAATATACAGAACCAAACATTTGCTTTTACATAAGCATCAGGACATGAGGTATGGGCTGACATCATTTTTTTAAACTTTACACCCCTTCCAAAATAACATTTTGACACTTAATTATTTTGAGGCTGTAAATTCATTTTCTTGTGGTATTTAATGGTCAGAGTAGGACATATATCAAATACATTGGCAAGCATGACCTTTACTTAAACAAATAATAATCATTCTGTTCCCAGAAACATCACAGGACTTAATATCACCATTATTCACACACCCATCCCTTCCTTTTTGTGACTTGGTTTGCCACTCCCTTCTTTACCAGTAGTCAATGAACAGCCCCACTCAGAAGTTATTCCCTACTGGGTGTCAGACTGTCTGGCAGCCAGAGACTTATTATAACTGGACTTAATTTTGCTTAACAAGCCCCAAAGGACCTGGACCTATTCACCAGTAAATCCCCGGCCATATCACCATATGTTCTCTGGGAGGGGCATCAAGGTTTGAGGAGGTCAGCTGTCTTCTACTAAATTGTTTTAAATTGACCATGATTGATAAAGAGGTGTGAAGTGTGTCTGGCAGATTCAGATGTTACAGGCAGGGAAAGGAGTGTGGTCTTTTGGCAACAAATTATGACATCATTCTTATTTATCTTACACAAAATAACTTTTGAGACACATTCACCTTTTCATTGAAGATATTCTTTGAAGATTCCTTTAATGTACTTTTGGAGTCATCCATTTATCATCATTAATAATGACATTGGATTTCCTTATCATAATTTATCTCTAAACTAAATTCATTACCTGTTTTAAATCAAACTTCACACAAGCCAGGTTTTCCCTCAGCAAGCAACATGTTTTTAAAGATTAATTTAACAATTTAACATATCCTACAAATAATACATGATAAGTTTTAGAGACATGACAAAACTACTCGACACACCTCCAACACTGAATTTTTTCATTCAAACTATACTTGGATTTCAAGAAACTGATATTGAAACTTAATCTAAAAAGAAAGTACCTATTTTTCTACAAAGTTGCAAACATTTGTATCAATTTCAGGCCACCCATGCTGATTTACATCCAGATCAAATAAGTATTTATTTATCTGTGATCTAAGTGTGGAATAATATTTGCTTGCAGCTTTCAAGCAGAGGTTTATGACAGTTGTAAAGTGATGACAAACTGGCATTTGGCAATGTCAACACATCAGTTGAACAGTAGCAGTTTTTAACATCCAAACCTGTAGGCATCAGATTTAGCTTAATGGCCCATCTTAGGATTTATAATTCCTGGATTAAGCTGCTTTTAAGAATAAAATCTTCTACTGGTAAAGCTGAGCCTGATGAGAAATCCAACTCATTTAAATCACTAGCCCATTTAACAAAATTTATCTGAGGGAAGTGGGGCGAGGGTGGTGCCAAGCATAACATGTAACGAATATGTTAATGGGTCAGATATTAGCCATCTCTTTCTCGGTTACTCCAATTATGCCAAAATGTAACATAATTATCAAACCAAACAGAATGATTTTCTGCAGACTGAAAAACATCTGTTTATTAAATTGTTGCCAATTATAAGAATCACTAGCCTTGGCCCAGCTGGCTTTCCTTTATCTTCAGATTTCATACCTACATGGCAGTGACATAATAAAGATTACACCACCCAACATCCCTGGTTTACCAATCAAGAAAAACAAAGCCTGGAATTTGTTTGCTGTTTCTCAAACCTCCCCAAAGAAACATTTACTATTCCTTATCATGAGTCAAATGTAACACTATCACAATCTCAAGATCCCCCCTACTTGTGTTTTGACATATTGGATATTTGCTACACTTGTTGTCACTTCTACCCTGTCCATAAGGAGATCAAATTTGACGTTGAAGTCTTCTGGGTCTCACTGTGGCTGGGGTCAATACATATCAGTAGGG